TCAATCGAGAAGAAATTAGCTTATTATATGAATATGGATGAAGTTGTATCTGATTTTGTATTCATAAAAGCAAGAAAAGTCAAGTTCTAATACGATGTTTACATTTTTATTAACATTTTTATTGTAATATAACTATTTTAAATTGTTTTGTTTTATTTAAATTAGTAGGGGCTTACTTGTCTATAAATATATTGATCTAATCAATCGTTAAATGTATATAAATAAATATAATGAACTCAGAATTAAGTCCATTTCAGTACTGTTTTTGTAGAAAAAAATATTTTATGCAGTATTTACTGGTAAAGGGCGACAAAACTTAGGTTTGCCTAGGTGTGTTTAAACACTTGATCCGTGCCTGATTATCTCCAAACATATTTGATCAGTTAGGTACGATTTAACTACACCAGACAACACATACTATATCCTTATATACATATTATGCACGTCAACTTGTGTTCTTTATATATATCTACTTAAAATCACTCGGTTCGGTTTATATAAATATTTTGCGTTTTATGAAATCGACAACCAATTGTGGGAAATTCTACTTTTCCAAGCAAATAAAATTCGCCCATGTGTTTAGTAATACAAATTTACACGAGTCGTATTACCTACACACGTGTCCGGACATATTAAACATTCGCATACCTAAACTTGAAAATACCCGCCTGAAAACTCTTGCTGCTCGCTCACTTAAATACTATTAAATTATTCAATTTAATTTGTTGTCTATTATTTATACGAAATTCTGTTTCACGTCTTACATACCCGCCTACATATGTTATTATATTGTGCATACAATGTTCATGAGTAGGTACGGGCTTATGTTGAACGATTGTCGAACAAATACTGTTCGATTGCATTTGAATTATTTATACAATCCGATGACGTATACGATCGTGAATATTCTTGTCACACAAAAAATTCTGCAGACGCTATTTTGTGACGTTTAGTTTGTTTTGGGAATGCACTAAAGTGTCAAATAACACTCTGACGAAAAAAGTTTGAAAAAGATAGTTGTTTTTTTAAATATAATAATTACAATTAGTACATAATAATCAATATTTGATTCAAAAATAAAAAAAATATATATAAAATACATATTTTAATTGTTCATTTTATACAATGATTGTTGCACGAAAAAATGATATAATAATAATATTCGCAACATAAACGAGAATTTCCAAATTTTATCTTGATTCCTGTAATCTTGATTATTAGTAAATTTCACCATTAAAACTTATTTTTTCATTAATGGAATACGTGGAGATATTTTAGAATCATATTGTTTGGAATAAAACCACTATCACATTTTAATTTTTAAATGGGAACTTATACTAAATATTTCCATAGAAATGACGTTACATTTATATTTTTCAAATATATGTGTATTTGAAATCAAATCCTTATTTGGGAATACTTTTTTAATTATTCAAATTGTTTTCTATAATATTTAAAATTTGAATAAACAATAAATAATAAAAAATATCGGTTCATAAATAAAATGAAAACATAATTTTAATTTTGTAAGAATCTTAAAATTTTCAACGGAAAAAATTGTGGCGTGTAGCACCTAGTTATTGATAACTATTAGCATATCTCCTTGTAAAATTCTAAATATTTAGTCATATTTATAAATGTAATGTTAATTTAATAAAGTTAATAAAGTTACATAGACAATTCAACTTGCAAGTTTTAATTATATTATTCATTACGAAACCTGTAATAAATAATATTAATTTACTAATAATACAGTACATATATTACAATATTATAATATTAATTTTTACTATGGTTTTCAATTTTTAATACTAGAGATGAGTGCGACTACTGTAGTAAATGGTTAGTTGGGAAGGTGGGATACATATAATTATTTAATTTATACCTATAACCAACGATAAACCTTTGCTGACGAAAAACTATATTTAAAATTGTATTAAAAATGTATTAATAATAAATAAGTAAATAATAAACATAATTTATCAATGTTGTACAATTAAATACTAAATACTAATTTAAAATAATAATTATGAACACAAAACTATTAACAACGTTATACTACAGCCATCGACTATTCTATTTAAATTTTTTTAAATAATGGTGGAGAATAAATCAACTGAAATAATATTTTAAATAATGATATATTCTGAAATACTTGTATAGATGCTGAGTGGAGCGAGGAATGTATTAGTTTTACAATGATGTTTACTATTATTATATTTTTATCTGTGAACAACTTTTCTACTAGCAATATTCCTCCGATTTTCAATTATAGCAATTTTTATAAAATGACATCTGACTAGGGTTGTACTTTAAGGAAGAAGTTTTTTTTTTATTTTCCTAGCTGTTTTCATAATTAATGAGAAAAACCGGAAAAAATAGATATAGGTATAATGTTAAACAAATATTATTAATGAAAATATATATTGCATAAACAATTATTTTACCATAATATAATATATACATTATTGAAAAAAATGCCTCCACTATAAACCGATCTCCGTTCAGAATCATGTTTTGTTAGCAATGGCTAATCGTTGCGTACAGGTGTACATTTAATGTCCCCTTTACTTTCCCAAATTCTCACCTACAACAGAGGCTCACCTACGAGCGAAGTATATCCGTCTCTTTTTGTGTATAATATATATATATATATATCAATAATAATCTTATAAATATATGTAAATACTGTACACATTTTTTTTCGTGGGTATTGTGTTAGTATTATTGCGCATTACTTGGTTCTGATTTCAAGGCATTAAAATATTTTTTTAAACATAATATGGCTACAGTGTAGCTAATATATATATCTATGTATAATTTGATTATTCTTTTGTGTTAACATGTTATATTAATTCCTTAAATTCAAATTTTAAAAAAAAAAATGTAAAACTAAAATCAGTCGAAATGTAAACGGAAAGATAAGATAATATGTTTAACCCATAGATAACAAAGAAAATAATCATGGAATATATGTTTATACTAGCTGTCCACACCCGGCGATGCCCGTGCAAATTTTTATTATCATTATTTTACCCGTATTCATTATTGGTTTTGGCCGTGTCAAAATTCAATGAAAACAAATAGGTGGAAAATGGGTAGCCCATCTTTGGTGTACTATTTTGTGTTCTATTCTAAAATTTGAATAGTGTAAAAAATAGTAATAATAATAATTATAATAATTTTATTTTCCGTGGTAACCAAATTATCATCCGTAACACCAAGGTAACCCTTGAATAAACAAAAATAAACAATTAAGCAGTTAGATATTCGTAGAAAACATACCTAAAACCCCTATTTACCCCTTAGGGGTTGAATTTTCAAAAATATTTTCTTAGCGGACGCCTACGTCATAACAGGTATCTATGTGCCAAATATCAGCCCAATCTGCCCAGTGGTTTAGGCTAGACGATGATGAATCAGTCAGTCCGGACATTGTTATTTTATTATATAGATTTAGCCAGGAGACGCGACCACCGCGCCGTGTCGGCCAGCACTAATCAGTTTATAATATTATCCTATCATAAACCCGTAATATTTTATTTGTGTTTTCATTTAATGATAAAAGAACATTTCCATAACATATATTTTATTATATTATGTATTTTCCTGTAAATTGTTTGTAAATTAACTTCTTCTATTTTTTAAAGTTTAAATACATTTTCAAAGTCATTTTTAGATTCCGAGCGTAGCAAGAGAGCTATTGATCTTACAATGCTATTTATTTCTTGTTTTTTTATCTTTGTTCTAGTCTGTGGACGCATATTTTCTTAGTAAACTTGCTCCGATTATTACGTGTTATATATATTACGTAAAAACCTCGCAAAATTTAAATATCTAATAGCTTAACAATCGCTCAAGTATTTTGAAAATTTCATCACGTATAGAAAATTCAAATATAACGTTGTTTACTAAATTCAGATTCTATACAAACGTTTTAAACTGAATCACAACAAAACAAAAAACAAAATTTAAAATTATAAAAATATTATTTTCGTAAATTTTCCCGATTTTTTCCATTTATTGGGGGAATCGAAAAATGATCTTATTAAAGTACCACACCAGGAAAATTTCCATTCAGAAAAGGTGCTGCAGTATTGATACTTCGGAGCAAGATTTCTGGTAGAATTTCGGGCAATATAAAAAAATAAACATCAAATACATTTCTCACTCCATTCAGAATCTAAAATCATAATTTTTTTCAATTATTAGCTAGTAAATTGAAGGGATTCATTATGACCGTCGCTATGGGTAATCCCGAAATTGAGTAGGTGTTATAAAAAATCAACACGGAAAATCTTGAATATCTATTGACTGGTGAGTGGTATGTGGTAAAATTTAAATTTATGACTTATGACTTTCGAAATTAATTATTGTAAAATCGAATATTTAATTTAAAACATAAGTTTAAAAACACTTTACTCGTGTTACTGTGATAACTAATAAATTAATACCTTATCATTTTTTTCACGACAAATGGATTTTAACCTAATTTAATTTATACGATAGTCTATGGTTATAGATAAATGACGTACTATATAACTTAACCGTGACGTATATTAACTTTCTGATGATGCATACACGTGTAATTTTTATCAGTTTAATTATTACCAAGCCACGGTTATAATATTTTTCTATTGCGTAATCACGTAATCGCGTAATATTGTGGCTACCAACTACAAATGGTTTATTTCATTATAAATTGAGAATTTAAGAAGTTAAAATGGCTATTACAAAGAAACTATTTATCAGATATGAATAAAGGCCATTCTCTAAATTTGGTGATAATTGGTCATCAAATATTTTTCGGAAATTGGAATCGAATTCATAAACCCTTTATACTACTATTACCTTTGTAAAATAGTCTTTGCCAACCTCATGAAACAGGCACACACTTAAAGTCTTAGTTTTTTAATTATATTGATTTGAAAAAAAGTAATATTCAAGGGAGTGACACATAGCGCTAGGGGATGACAAAATAAAATATGTACACTATCATTTCTGCAAAAAATTAAATTTTTTAATGAAATAAAATACATACATCATAGTAATATAATGAAGATATATTATGTCTTTAAAGTAAATAATTAATGAATTTAGACTTCAAATTTACATAACTAAAAAAAAACTTATCACAAAGTTATGGCTTTTTATATATATTTAGCTTTACTGCATATGGTTTTTACGATTTAATAATGTAAAATGTCAAGTAAATAACTTTATTTAAGTATATTTTATTTATACAAATTAATTATTTATCCCTCCCTAGTCATTACGGTCACTCTCTAGCTCTTATGAATTTTTGTTTAAGCTAGGGAGTGACTTCCTAGGAAATGACAAATCAACCGTTTTTATCTGTCTAATTAAGAATAGCTGATAAATAAATATAGTAGGTTTAGCTATTTACAGAGGTTAAAAAATACTACAAGACTACGTAAATTACAAAAAATAACATCTTAGCTGTACAATTTTGATACGCTCTAAGGAGTGACCGTCAATAAAAGTACTACACACACTTCCACTGATATTCACATATGAGAAGCAACTGATAAGGTAATAGAACATAACAAAATGGCCCAATTGTTTAATTCAATACCTAAAATGTTACTGAAAAGAATGGTATCTGAATGTAAGGTGCAAAGTGAAAGAAAAAGGTACTATTAACTTTTTAATGCAACACCTTAGCTTTGTGACAGGGCTAGGAAGGGACAATATTAGTATAACATATTTATTAATTAGGTACCTCTTAACTGTTAAAACTTCATAGTGAAAAGGAAATGCTGATCACAAGTAGATTAATAAAGGAAAAACAAATTCAACATTATGCAGGCATTTATTTTTTTTTTTATACTTCTGTGACTGAAATTTCACCAAATTTGGAGAATGACTCATATAATACTATGATGCATTAAAGTTGTCAGAACAATATCTTTCCAAAAATGGCTATTTTTAAAATTTTGTAAAATTAAATTAATAAAAATTATACTTTTAGTGATTTAGGGATAAAAATCAAAATTTAATTTTTCTCTAAATAAATGTCAATGTAAATTGAAGAAAATCAGATTAAAAAAAAAATCGAAAAATACATTTTTATAGTACTATAAAAACGGTGATACACACTGTTTAATCTATATAGTTCTTGTGTGCAATAACTATACAAATATATGGTATATTTTATGAATGACAATTGTTATAAAATATTACTAAACGTACAGTTTTACTATCTCGTTGGAATTCATAATAATAATATTAATACTGCGTTTCATTGACAAACGTTGGTTTCCTCCGCCCCGTTGTGTATATAACACAATAATGTATGACGTACAATATTATTCAATAATCAATGTGACAGAGATTATTGGCAGTCCATAACCTATATCAAATAATTTACAATGTAATATGAATATTATAAATTAGTTTATATTTTTAGATCAAATTTAAATAAATATAAGAACTCTACCTAGATAATAATATACAAAAATGAATTCCAATATGTTATCGTTTACTTATTTTTCCCAACGCGAAAACAATTATCGGACATTTTGAATACTTGAATAAATAACAGAATAATATATTGAACTAATAGTATTTAGGTATCTAAATTTTTTTATCTTAATTAAATAATCTTTCACCCACCCGTATACAAATATTTTCGAAATATAATTTTAACAAAACATAACACATACGTATATGTAATGTATCTGTATAACTATATAAACCAAGGTATGTGGGTAATAACAAATTTATTAGGCTTTATTATAATTACTAATTTATATCAAAATTTATTTGCCATCTTTGTAGTAGTTCTGCAATTCGAATAACAAACTAGTATCATCATAATATTATGAACACATTATAATTCAAAAACTCTTAGTAAGTACCTACCTATACTTTAGGTATATTGTATCAAATCAAGATAGGTAATTGAATGCGGTCATAAATCACGGACATCATCACTAATGGAATTCGAATGTACGCATATTAAAAATTAAAGTGTTTAGATGTTAAACGACATATATGTCTAACTATACTGTACATAATTGTACGTATATCTTATTCATACATCATATATATATATGTATGTAAATATCTGACTACCCACTCGTATATAAACCAAGGAAAAATATTTGTAAGGTTTTATTCAACGGATAATTTTATAACCATAATTAATAGTAGTAGTTGATGTTAATTAGATCAATTATGTGTGTGTTTTTAACTAAAACGGAACAGACCATCTAACGAAATAATGGTATAATGTGTAAAAATGTTTTTTTATCGTGATACCTGTTATCTACCAGGTATGGAGTTTATATGCATTATTACGTTTCTAAACTATCACTATCACCGATAATAGTTGTGGCCTACCTTCGGTTTTAATGCATTTTCAAATCGGTCCTGTAAGTTTCATTTTACTATCTCATGTATATACAACAGCAACCTATCCAGTAAATAAGGGTGTAAAATGTATTAAATAATATTATAGTCTATAAGTAATATATTATAATTTTTTGTCAGGCGAAGTTTTAGATTTTTTAATAATATTATTTAATGGCAAAATGATGATATCGATGGTGCTATCACAAAAAATGTTTCCATGGAATTCGTTTTCAATGAATTTTGATGATAAATTTGTACCGACGATAAACTAAACACATAAAAACGGTAAATGAGGAAAGTTATGAATTCCGAAATGTGTGCAAAATAGTCGGGGAGGTTAGGAGTTTTGAACTTACAGAGAAAACACGAAGCGAACAAGGGGAATAATAACGAAACAGTAAGAAATAGTTCAGAAAATTGTGAAATGATTTCATCGATTCAGATGCTTAGTGTTTTATTACATCAGAATGATTTCTATAATACGAAGATGAAGGGGAGGAGAGGGAGGAATACGACTCTAGTGTTGGAGCTCTGATGATCACAAGTTTTTTTTTTAACACAAAAATATCGTTTACATAACATTATGTATTATTGTATTCTACGATGTACATTTGTACAATATATATGTATATAAGTATAAAAACGTAAAATAATAATAAATTTAAAAACATAATTATATGTATATATATAATATATAAGTAATAACAATAATAATTAGTCGATTTTTATATACCTAATAAAGATATACGTAGGTATAGATTTATACAAATACATAATATTATACAATATAAACAGGAATAATAGCTCGACACAAACTTAAAAAAATTAAATATATGAAAAAATTAAATTTTACATAATTTTATATACTATTTATTTATACAAAGACTATGTGCACAGCTATAATACACTATATAATAGTATGTAATAAATATAATATTTTATATTACTTGTCTAAATATTATCATTTCGAGTCGGTCTTTTTACCAGCCGTCATCAAGGACTTGACTTTGTTTATGCACTTGTCGACAAAGTTCCGCTTATTTGTCGCGGCGTCACCGGCCGAAGCCGACGCAATGCTGCCGCGGTCTTCGGCGCAGTCGTCTACGTCGCCGCACGCATCCAAGTACTCTTCCAGGCTCTTGGCTTTCTTCATCTGCATCTGAGAGGCGTGCAGCTGCGGTTCCGGTACAACCTCGGGTGCCGTCTCCAGCAGACCTTCAACGCTACGGGCTCGCTTCTGGTTCTTTCCTCCGCTCCGGTTCGGAGGACTCGTGGGTGGTCTCCACGCAGGCAGTCTCGAACACTTCCGGTATCTGCGAAAACCAACCGAAAATGAGCGATACATTTCCAAACGATCCGCATCAGTACCAATGAACAAGGGCGAGAATACTCTCCATTGCCAGGGATGAACCAAAAATTGATCACGGGGCTAAAGAAGGTTAAATATACAATATTGAGACCGTACAATGTCTCAAAGTCGGATATTATCCAAACAATATGTGTAAAAAGCGAGATCGGAAAGGTCTGTGTTGTATGCTGGGAAAAATAAATACGGTCGGAAATTTTTAAATAAAACTTATCCCTCATGATGATTTTTTGGTCTTGGCTTCTTAGGATCGTTTCTATCCGGAGTTTAAGTAACTACATATAAACCCATATTATATTATGTTAGTAAGTACATGACCAAACACATCACCGTCGTATAAATATTATTAATATTTTAGTACTTCCACCGATTTATTAATTATACAGCGCGTTAGATAATATACAAACAAAATAATATTGGAAATGTATCTGTGCCAAATAAAACAATAATATAATTTCAGTCTCCGGTATGCGTGTAATATGTTGTAAAACGTACGTCACGACATAGCGTTATGTTTGCGATAAAATATATTATGTTCGTGTGACATCGTCGGGGCCGCATTGTTTTAAATATATTTTTATCCGAAAATAAGTTTAATTAAAATGAGTTGTTATCTTCTCCTTCTCTTTCATCTTTAACAAATGCGGATGGAGTCAGCTACTGTTATATTCTCGCCCTCTACGCCTCTCTAATAACTATAACCCATCTTCTCTCAACGTGCCCAATCAACCATTTCAATCCAATCTATTTTCTCTCGTCATTCCTATTACATCGGCTACTGTTAGAATATCTTTTATCTAACCTGGTTACACCACACATCTCTATTACCATGAAAACTATTCATCTATTTTATTTAATGACCTCGCATACGCGTTAAATGATGAATTATGAAAATAATTAATGAAAAGCAAAATAAAAAACCATATTCCCTACATATAATACACAACCAATATTCCACAACCAATAATATATGTACATCGACACCTACCTAACCATGAAATCGCTGGAGACCGTTGCGGCAGAGCGGCGGACAACAACAAGCGGACGGACACAAATAACAACAACTCGGTCGGTCAGTAAAAAAAACTCGAGCAGCGTCCTTCTCATACCTGGAAGTGTTCGCCGCTAGTCAATCTTTACTACCGTTCAGGTCCCGTTCACTGTCGTTGGACTGGGTCCGCTGGTAGGTGGGTGGCGATCTGCCTAGAACTAGAGGCGTATTCGGGGCCGATGACTCGCTCTTCGGGCCACCGGCCGTGGACCGATTCAGCGACAGCCCCGAAATTGCTCCGTCCCGGATGCCATTTAGCTCACCCCGCATAAACCTCTCCAGTTTTTCCACGCACGCGTCTTGGTAGTCGTGTATCCACCGGACCCCGTTGAACTTGCACACGTTCCGCATGTCCTCTGGCAGCGTTTCTGGTTCGGGCCACGAAAAGTTGTCCATGATAGGAATGATGTTGCACTGGTCTTGTAACGCGGCTACGATTTCCTATGCCAAAATTAAATCGTTAGTGAAGATTTGTAACGAAATGATTCGTTTTGCTATACAAATTGATGATTTTTTCCGTAAAACACTCGTATTTATGTCAGAAAGTGAATAATACTGTAGTAAAAAAATCATCCAGTGTACTGTGAACGTTATACTCCCCTGCTATAAAATAAACACTTGTTTACCTTGTGTACCCAGTCTTTACAATCGTTGTCACCAATACACCTATCCAACGAATTGGGCGTCAGAACCAATATGAAATTTTTGGCCTGCTTAATGCTCTGCAGCAGGTTGTTGTCAAATTTACCGGCTTCTAAACGTTCCACATCGATAAAAACCGTGAAACCTCTGAGTTGTAAATGTACTTTGAGTAAGCTGGAACACGCGCACCATTATTATTGCTGTTCTTGTAATTTTTAGGAAATCGTTGGCAATGACAGATTTACGTGTGAGAGGGGATGAGTTCAAAGGGTTTGAACCTCCTCCCCCAAACACTGATATAATTTAAATAAAATTTCATTTAAAAAATAGGAATATTTTAATTGACCCCTTTGAAATACATATGATTTTTCAGGAACCCCCTCAGCAAAATGTTGTAAATCCGCCACTGCTCTTTGATATGTTACGGAAACTTACCTAGCGAGTTGAGATCCAGTCGATCGTCTATAACTGATAAACACATCCAAGTGTTTATTCATGTTTTCTTCGTAAGATGACGACGTTTCTATCATCGTTTGCATGTCTACACGTTTAAATACAATATTATTTATAATTCCGTAAATTCAAAAACCAAAACTTTTACCTCTAATAGAGTCTAGTATTCTATACTGGTGAATGCTGTTTGTGATTCCACACTCTTGTTCTAGCTGTTCTTTCGATAAAAACCTGTAAAATTCATAAATATAAAACAAAAAGTAAATTCATTTTTTTTTTTATTTCTATTTTTGGAGAGCTATGTAACAGAATTGCAATTTTATCTACGTCAAAGGGATATGAATTATATATAATTTAACCTGATAGAATCTCTATCGACGCTAGCGTTCAACATTGAATAAGTGTACACCGAGAACTCCGGCCCGATAGACTGTAGAAACGAATTCAGGTTGGTTGAGTCTTTGCTGCTGTAGTCGGCCAAACGTTTTAAGTTGTTTATTTCTCTCATAAATCTATAAATAACGATTTTAATATTTGATTGTATATGGACTATCGTTAAACCAGTCAATATTTTAATTAATTTGTACGGACCTTGTTCGCATTATTCCGTTTCGTATTTCGATGTCGTCTCTCAAGTTTTTCTCGGTCAACTGAAACAGCAGATCACCGTCTACTCGACTGTCTAAGAATTTTTTGGCGTACTCGCTGAACCCTTTTTGCTTAACCCATTCACAGACGTCGTCTGTCGACCACAACGGTACCTGTTGGCTAAGCTTGTGTGGCACCTCTTCGCCGATCAACCGCAATGCTTGGGCAGCGAACCTGGACGCTATGGCATTGGGGCAGCTGGCCACCTTCTTCAAAGGTTCGACAGCGTTGATCTCCCGGAATATGATGGACTTGCCCTGTTGCTTTTTGATTCCCGCTTCCATGCAAAAGTGGAAGGCAGCCAAGTTGCACGCTTCCTCCCGGATAGAACTCAACACAGGCACCAGCCTTTCTAACCAGTGGTGACTTTGGCCGTGGGCGTGTGCCAAGTTCGATTTGGCAAACTCAGATGGCGTGTGTGTGGTGACGAATGGGTCAATTAAATCTAAAGTCTCAGACTTAAGTACCGCTGCCTCAATTTCTTTATTGGCCACCAATACAGCTATGGCCAAAAACGCATAGTACTTGATGTTGTCATCCGTGTTGAACGCCAAAGTGAACAACCAAGTAGGTACGTTGCGCTTAATCATCAGCTCTTGGTTTTCAGCGCCACCGTACAGTGACAAGTTAGCCAGAGCACCGGCACAGTGTCTCAACGTCGCGATGTCTCGTCTTCGACACTCGTACAGTAGAACGTCTAAACCACCGAGCCTGATAACGTCACTGCACGTCACTTCACTGTGCTTGAACAAATGTTCCAGGATACCTAGAACATACCATTATGGTGTCGATTAATGATCCAACGAACTAAACATTTAGAAATAATTTTTGGGAAAATTAGCACTCTCGATTCATGAATGCAATGGAAATTATGTGAATATAATACGATTATAATCGATTATTATCGAATCTCGTGGTTCTATGATTGCTGTGTTTTAACAATTTCCCTAATTGAAATGTTGAAAAAGTATTTCATTTTTTATAAACGTTCAATGTCATTTGGTGTTCTTTGAAAACAACTCTGACATTCTAAAATAATATCTATTACACTTACCGGTGCTGACTTTTGATTGCTCACCCGAGCTAACTTGACTCTTGTACGCACACACCACGTTCACGACTTTTTCCAGTCCGTTTTCTACCACATAAGCGCGATTCTCCGTGGTCAGGCACTGTTCCAGAAGTCTGGCACTAGAGAACTGGAGTTTTTGGTCTTTGGAGTCGCAATTATTGATTAACAAGTCGATACCACCGCAGTTCCGGAACGTGTTGCACAAGGCGTATCCGAGTTCATAGGTTGGTACCGCCCATGCTTTGCAGATCATGTCGAACATTTTGTTGAGCATCGTCGGGCCTTTAGCGTCAGCGTACTTCCCACTCACCAGACCCTTTACGGCGTTCTCTAGGTACGATGAATACTTGTGTATGGCGTTTTCCACGTCCTGCTGGTTGGCGATTTCCCGCATTTCGTCGAGGTCGTCGAAATTCATGTTCATCAGGTCATCAACGTTTCTGACCACCATGTGTGTGGACAAGGGAGGTGATGACCCCCCGCCACCGCCACCACTAGACGATGACCCATTGTGCGACGACTAAAAACAAATTTAAAAATCACCCGGTTAAATAAAAAAGAATAAATGTAAATATTATGTTACATAAGAAATCGAAAAACCGTTATTACCTGTGAAGTGGCGGATGACACGGCTTTCGAACTGCTCGTACAGATGCCTTTTTTAGTGAACGTAAAATTTGACTGGGATGATTGAGCGATATGTTTCTCTTGATTAAACATTCCCGAAGAAGTGATCGTTTGTCTTTGCTGCTGTGCGCTCGAAGCCTTCTGAAAACGTAATGAACGTTCGATGGTAAAATATGTGTATTAAACGAAAAGAAATACTAATATCTACGTTCGAGCGTGCTAACTGCTAGAGCCCGACCAAAATGTATATCAATATTCGTAATAAGTATTATGTAATAATATTTTGGAACTCGCGTTGTATGAAATCTACACGAAAAACGTAACGTCCGTTCGTGTCATATTATATTATCTATAATAAACCACTCAGAATTTAGGTCGTCATGTGTGATATTAAAAAACAATAAAAAAATTATGGCAAAAAAAACTTAGAATTTAAAAATATTTTCTTAAAATCACTATATTTCAAAAAAAAAACATTTCAAAATATTGTGAACGAAGACTCGTATCGAGTTTCAATTTTATGTTTGAAGCATTAAGTTTTTTACCTAATTCTCCAGGCGAATGAAATGATTACCCATTATGTTATTTGATTTTATCGGGAGCACGAAAAATAAATGTGATTTAAACAAGATATAAAACATACCTACAATTCTATATTATAATACAGTTATTGAGTATAACAATTATACTGATATAGATATATTTTATGAAAGACAATTATTATAGAATATTAATAAACATGTATATAATAATTGTACAGTTTTGCTATCTCGTTGGAATTCGTAATAGTAATAATAATAATAACACCGCGTTTCATTAACGAACAATATGATGTTTTCTGCCCCATTGTGTATGATATATGATGTCAATAATATATGCCAATATCATATTGATATTAATGTGTGATAAAGATGATAGGTCTGTATTATATAATTTGCTGTGTCTAGACGACAATGTCGTACCTATGGTAATGATTTTAAACATGTGTTGCTCGCCAGTATATTATGAATTCGTGACTAAAACACTTGACATGTGTTTGGATTATCGATTTTTATTCTATTGTACGACGTAGAAAAATATACATAAGTAATTATTTTCAATATAGCAAATAATGGTGTTATATGTGTACTTTCGTCGTGGTGGCACCTGTATGCGTTTCGATTTTGCCGGTTTTATAATAAATATGTTCAACTCTTACGTTTTCCATCATTCGATTTTTAAAATAATCAAACATCGACTGCATTAATATTATATTTATTTATTTTTAAACGCCTGGTGGGCATACAGTACATAAAGAATATATACATAATATTATGTTTATTATATTATATTATTAGACTAAATATTATTACCGTTACGTAAAAAAAAAAAAAGGATATTGGTTTTTAACATAATGAGTATAATAAAATAACCTCATTATATGTGTTCAATTAACTTGACCATCGTGGAGCGTTTTTATGATTTTCAAAGAAGGGAGGAGTTTGGAAAATATGTTATAATATTTTATGACGTGTATATACCTAGGTTAAAAAAAAAAACATGATACTGATGATGGGAGCGGCCACTGTTGTAAATGAGAAGTTGAAAAGGTAGGATACATAAGATTATTTCATT